GCTAGAATTCCTTAGATTATATTTGAATGGGAGCCTAAGAGAAATAAGAGATGATAAATAAGTAGGCGCTAAAAAATTAAGAATCTTAAAAGTAATTTTACGGTGCACTCGAAGAAATAATAAATAACGTTGTTATTTTCCTTCGAAGTAGTATCTTTTAGGGGTTGAATAAAGCTCGAGCCGCGCCAGATTTGGTCTCCTTTAGGGGTTTAATTCAACTTTTCTGACGAGCATCCCTGACCCCCGCCCCCCTATTAGCTAATATGCCGTACATAAGACAAAATAAGAGCTACTTTTATCGGCCATATATCAACACAAAACCACCATTTTCTCAAATGCAAATTGCCTTCCAAAAATAACCCCTCCCCCTCACCCGATAACAAGCCCACAGAAAATGCCTCCTGCATAAAAATATATCAAGAGTACTTACCCTTTTTGGCGGATACAACACCACAATGGAGCCGTCCGCCTGGTATGACATGACACAGATATGGATTGGAAACTCTTCGTTATTAGTGACTTGAATCACAAGTGCATCACCGGTGCCATCCACCGCTCGATAAAAGCTCCGATGACGTGAGGCTGTTACCACCTCAACACTGTGAGCTTGGAAGGTTGGAATTGCATAAGGGGGGCCTTCTGCAACAAGCAAATAAACAACAACGTGAGCGAGTCATGTTCGACTGTCGCTAGCAAAATGTATACCACAGCACGCAGATGTCAATAAACCACCAAACATGCAGTTGCTGGCCCACTGATAAAATGTATGCTTGATGGAGGTGATTATGAAGACAAAACAGCAATAAGGCACCAACCATTTGTTACTTTATTTGCAGTTGTCGCTTTTAATGTACTGCACTATCTATGGAGAAGAACCAGGTTGAAACCACAGCACCCTATAAAGCGCTAAACTTATAAACGCCTGCTCTACCTAAAATAGCTATTTTTGTCACGCCTTCTCAGGCTAGAAATTAATTTTCACCCACAGATGTATAATTGTACATATAATTATACATGTATATGACCACTGAAATCACACCAAACATCTATTTTTCCACTGGTAGAACTATATGGAATGTCTGCTACAACATTTACATTCTGTTTCAACACAATTTTTATACAAGATGCACACTCCATCTTAGACTTGAGATACCAAGGCCAACATGCAGTGACCTCAAGTGAGACCACACCCCCTCCCCCAAATCTCTCCTCTTCCTATAATGAGAAAGCGCCCTTTTACACGACCCCAATGTGGAGGCGTTGTCTCACTATACAGTCAGAACAAACCACCAGGTAAGTACCAGGATGCCCACTCAGTGACTCCTTTAAGTCTTACTAACAATAGATAACCATACCATTCATGTTTTATATTCTATTTGCCTGTGAACAGGCTCTCTAGTTGAGGATGGGGCAAAGAGAAAGCAGGAAGAAAGAGGATAGAAGNCCCCCCCGGCTACTTCACTTTCAGCCACTTCCTTCTCGGCTCTTCTAGCTGCGGTCAGACCCTTCCAGCTGGAGTCTGTTCACAGGCTAATATTCTATAAGGTTTTTTATTGTATCATTTTGTGATTTTTACCTATTACCATTTTTTAGCTCTATCGACCAATCAATTTTGCATTGTAAAAAGCATTGAGACTTTATGTGCTTGATGACCTTTTAATAATTTCATTATTAAACACCCAACAGCCCCTCCCACCCCTAATCCTTCCCCGCCTACTGCCTATCAGCCATTTGTGGGTTTCATTACCTCCAAATAAATCAGTTGTTTCAACTGCTCGAGCTTTCAACTCCGTCTTCTTGTCGGGATCATTTTTGAATGGAGGCACATTCTCAACTTTAAAAACTTTAAAGCTAACATTATGCAGCATATCACGATCAGGCGGCCTCGGATTGAGAGCAAATTTGGCGCGAAAATATTTGGATAGATTTGTAGCCATCAAGTACCCATCACCAGTCTGTTGATAGGGAAGTATCATCCTTCCATGGTGCATTGCCCGCCAACATTGCTTCCTGAAAAATAACGAAGCATTTTATTTCAAATTGCTTGATAAAAAATAATTATTGTTCTAGAATGATCAATCTACTTAGATCCCACGTAAGTCTCATATATTATGAGAGGTCTTTCCTCTTTCCCATTATAATTATCAGCTGGGTATGAGTCAGCAGTTATCAGTTATCACCTCTTATAATCCATCAAATATTTTCACTCGTGTGCGATTGGTTTAAATGTGTCACATGATTGAATATTCCCCAGCTAAAACTGGGGAATATCCAAGTGATATTCCCCAATTTTCAAAACAGCGTGTGTTGCAAAAAATATTTGAAGGATAGAAAACACATTAGCCTCCATTTGGCGTGAGAATATACTGGGATATTTGTTCTTGGAAATTATCTGTTCCTCAAAGTTCACAGTTTTCCTTGAGCTACACTTTCAGAAATTGTTTGCTTCTCGGAACATATAATGTCTGCAGACAAATATCAAAGCATATTTTCCCCCCAATTGGAGGCTATTGTTTATATATTATAAAACAAGGTCTTCAACAAAAAAAAACAAAACAAAACAAAATTCTCACTGACAGACTCACTCTGGTTCAACCCAAGACACTTTTGCATTTTTTACAAGTAGCTAATTGAAGTAGTTACAAAAGTACATGCCTGTATTTTTGAAATGAAGGACTAGCCTGTAGCCAGAAGTTCTCAAGCTCAGGGAGCACATGTGCTGTACAGGTGTAGGCAATGAGTTATTGTTAAAATCATGATGGACAGGTATGCAGGGCCTCTTGGGTTCACAATTTGTGATCTGAGGACTTGTTTTGGGTTTGAAATTTTGTCGTACCCTTTTTGGTGGTTGGGGGGGGGATGATTTTGGTAAGGAATATTTTGGGGTAGACAAAAAGCTAGACATAGCTGGGTTCCCATTAAACTACATACAAAGAATATTTAGCAACCTCTAATGCTATGCTAAGAAACAATGGACCTGTTTTGACTGTGTTTTGAGACTTTTATCTGTCTGGTTTTAATCTTATAGCACTTATAGGGCCTAACAATTTGGCCTCGTTTGTACCTCCCAGTCACTACAATACTTGCATGCCCACCCACACCCTCCCCCATCCAATGGCATCTCAACCAAGAAGTTCCAAGAAATCAACATCTCATATTTCCTCTTTTCTTGTTCAAGTAGACACTCAATGTGGTAGGAATAGAGATCATCAACAACGATACACAATATTGTCTACCTGCTGAAACAACCTCATGGTAAAAACTATCATACATGTAATGTTAAAAGAAATGCCTGTCATTTCTCTGCCCATTTCTTCCTAATGATGAACCCTTCTGGGGCACTGCAAGGGTATTTTCTCTTACTCAGGTAGTGTTTGTAAGTGGTAAACAGAGAATTCTTCATTAATCAAGCACATTTAATTGGCCAAAACTTCCAAAATGGCAACACGGTAATCTATAAACAAGCACAAAACTCCGTAAAACACAACACCTGTTGAAAAAACTATAAACTCTACATGCAACTTAACTCTTGCACGCAATAATCATACTCACAACTTACAAATTCAAAATGTCTCTGAGTACGTGTGTGCTATTTGCACATCACGCCACTTTGGTAACTGCCTTCTTAACAGGTAGAATAGGACACTACTGACACATGCATGTAGATCTCAAGGATAAAAGTTTTCAATAAAGAAAATCAAATTAAGGCTCTCTTACTCTTCGACCTCCACTGTGTCCAAGGTAATGAAATCCTGCTTCTGTTCTCTCTCCAAGCTGAACATCTGTTGGCTCTCCAGTGCAGTATTCATTTGATCCAAATGCTCTTTTGAAACCCCTGCAGCTGTGATATACACATGATGGTACATACTTCCTTGACGGCTCAATTGAGCTTTGCATCCAACCTAGAACAAACAAAATGTGGAATTTATTACCCACTTTGACTAAAAAGACATTGTGCAGTATGTTCCAGAAAATATCCATACTCCCCCCACAGAAGGGATTGGAATTTTCTAGGGGTGGGGGTTCCAGAAGACCAAAAATTTAATTAAAGAAATGTATGAAGCTCAAATAGAATTTCCAGAGGGGTAGGGGGGACATAGAAAAAATCCCTCCTGTGGGGGAGGTATATCGATATTTTCTGGAATTACACATTTCTCTTAACAGGCATATTTTTTCTTTGCATGAAAAACAACTGCGATCAACTCTTGTACTGATGTACTACATGTACTGGTACATGTAGCTCTACAAAGATCGGACAGCGGTATACTGTATCACAATGGTAACAGGAGACTCCTTCAATAATCAGTGCAGTGTATGGGTCCAATCTTGGAAACCTGTCTTGTAGGGAATTAAAAAGTGTACAAAGAGGGATATAAATGTGAATACCCAAGCCACATGTATCACTGCTTGGAAAACAAGTATGTGAAATGTCTGCATGACCTTAACTGCCAAGGAAACCTTTGAGAGAAGGCTGGTCATGATGACTTTAAGAAAGTCTAGTCATGATGACGTTAAGAAATTTATCACATGTTTAAGTTAATTTATCACTGATGATGATAGATGCCATACTTAAGACACAATTTTGTCTTGCAAACTGAAATCATTACACAATTTTTTTTACGTCTAACGAATTTACACTAAATAAATTATGCTTTGCTGCTAGCTTTCAAACAAGTAACTTATCCAGATCTCCAATATTTCATTTAAAATAGGTTCTTTAACTGATGATATTTCTATTGTTAGAGGCAAGCTGAATGTATGCAAAAGGCTACTCAACCATACATCTTAGCAAGGCTGTCACTAAGTTTTGAGTATTAACCTGTTGCCTTTAGCTTCAGCCCCATAACAAACCTGTTCCTTTGTGGGTGAATAAATGCAACAACAACAGTCATGTTCACCAATATGATCAAAGGAACATCAAGGGCCCATCAAGCATGTACTCAGCGGTAAACAGAAACTGAAGGAGTGAGTGGAGTAAAGCCCTAAGTGACTTTTGAAAAACACTGAGGCAATCAACATTGAAATACCCCCCAGCAAGTTCATAATAAATAATAATAATAATAATAATAATAATAATAATAATAACAATAATAAATAGTATTTTTATAGTACCTATCCAAGCATGATCTAGGCACTTTACAAGTCATAAAAATATAATTAAATTAGAATGATATTAAAATAATAAAAATAAAACAAGAATCAATAAAATTATTCTGTTAATGTTTCCTTAAATAAATGAGTTTTGTGCAGAGTTTTACTCTTGTCTTCATTATTGTCTCAAAAGAACTAGTCATAGTTCCTTTGAGACAATAGCTAAACCCAGAGTAAACTGTGACAATTGCTGGAAGGTATTTCAATCCTGGCTGCCTAATAATTTCCCAAAAGTCACTTAGGGCATCATTCCACACACCCCTTCAATTACAGGTTACAGCTCTTTATGACAGCTTTAATTTGTATGCATTGCAGACCTATATTAGGTACTTTTAAAATCATTCAAGGAAAGTTAAAAGAGACCTTTTTAGCCCAATGAGCCCCTTTTAAACCAATTTTTGTGTTTCACAGATCTGCAACTACTTCAGATAGCATACCCTGACCCCTTCAATGACAAACCAGGCCAACATCTGCCAAGATGAGGAAAGGTCATGTTTAAACACAATCAAAAGTAAAATTAACCTGGGGGCCGTAACGATCAGCATACAACACTTTTCCATAGGACTTGATTGCCTCGATGTCATCTGGACTAACATCTATGCGTGCCACCCAAAGATCCCTCTCTTGCTCCGAGTCAACCATGTCATCTGTGAGCTTAGGATCAACCACATCATATTCTCCCTCCACGATGCCCTGTAGCCAGCCACCTTGGAGTACGACTTCGGTGGTAAATCCTTCCAACTCTTTGACTTCCACGATCTCAACAGATTTTGAAGGTGGCGATACTATAAAATAATTTAAGACAGATAATTATGACCAACCAGTTAAATAAATAATGGCAACACAGTATTATTATTATCATTATCACTATCACTGTCACTGTCACTGTCACTGTCACTGTCACTGTCACTGTTATTGTTATTATCTTTATTTTTATTTTTACACTGACTTTCATTGGGTCACATCCGTTTACCCAAGGGCTTAATGATATGTGCAGTGTACATGTGTACATGTATAAACAGAATGAGGATATTTTTGTTTTAAACTGTCTCAATAGTCTAAATGTACATGTTTTTCCCAGCTTCAAGTGCTTTCGTTCAGTTTAATATCAAGAGTTAAATATAAAAGGGGAAGCGGCCATGACAGCAATTTCTCTGCATGTTTTTTTTGGGTCAACAGGCGGGGGATAAACACGTATGACTAAGGACCATCTCTTATAAGTGAAACATGCCCTAGAAAGCTGAGATGAAGATATTAAATGAATTCTTGAAGTGAGTCAGTAACTTGTAATTATTATATGGCTTTGGCTTGTGGGCGATATAACGCGCGCTCTGATTGATTAATTGTCACTGAATTGTAGGGCATTATTCTCCCGTAATGCCCACGGGCCGATTACGGATTATGTAAATTAGGAAGAGCCCGGTTCTGAAAATTCAA